ACTTTCATGTTGGAAATAATATTTTTTGTTGTTGTGTTTGTTGTTTGAGATGGAAGTTCTCGCTCTGTCGCCCAGGCGGAGTGCAGTGTGTTTGATCTCAGCTTACTGCAAACCTCCGCCTCCTGGGTTCAAGGGATTCCCTGCCTCAGCCTCCTGAGTAGCTGGGACTTACAGGTGCCCGCCACCACGCCTGGATATTTTTTGTATTTTAGTAGACACAGAGTTTACCTGTTTAGCTTTAAGTTCTGAGTGGATGCTGTAACTTTAGTCTTCCTCCAAAACTATTTGGAATCTCTGAAAACCTTCATAAACTCAAGAAAGGACCTAACTATGTTTCTCGTGGTCTCCAAACGCAGCATTGCCAAGATGCTGCTTGAACTTGTAGGGTGTTTTCTCTGACTGGGCTGCCTTCTGGCGCCTGATTTTTTTCTGCAAGATTAGTTCAGAATACTGTGGGGAAGAGCTCCCTCGCCTGGCTCGCAGAAGGTAATGCTACTGGGTACGATTGCCTGAGTAGGCTAACTGCTTCCAGAAGCCAAACTGTTTAATTTGATCACGTGAAGTTTGCACTTCAGTTTGGAGAGATATTTTCTATATTTATAGTGCTTGATTTGTAAGTCCAAGTTTCATATATAAACAAATGCATAATTAAAACATCCATTCTAGATTGCTTGTATAAACAAAATGTATAATTTGCACATTGACTACAGATTTTCTTCAGAAAAACAACAATTACTTCATATGTGAGTTTGGAACTAATAGAAATCTGTTCAGCTGTGATTTATGTGCACTTCCAAACTGAGATTGTTACAGAGGAAATTGTGGCAGTTAATCAACATGCAAATGACATGTTTATGTATGACTTAAAATGAATTTTGACAGAAGTATGAATGCCAAATTTAAAGCTTTAGCCTTGCAATGAAAATTACACAAACCACAGAAAGATCTGACTTACCTATAGAAATATTGAAGTCAAGAGTGTTAATTAATGCTTGCCAGATTAATACTTTTCACTTGTTGATAAAACTCAAAATGCTAGAAGTAAAAAAACACTTTTGTACTCAAAACCTTTTCCGTCACCTTCATCTACAACATGTTATATTATTCATTCTAGTAAACAGTTTTTAGGCATGTCTTCAGAATTTAAATGAGTATATCTATGATATGGTTTGACTTTGTGTCCCCACCGAAATCTCATCTTGAATTGTAATACCATAATCCCACGTGCTGTGGGAAGGACCCATGGGAGGTAATTGGATCATGGGGGCTGTTTCCCCCATGCTGTTCTCGTGATAGTGAGGGAGTTCTCATGAGATCTGATGGTTTTATAAGCATCTGACATTTCCCCTCCTGGTACTCATTCTCTTTCCTGTCACCCTCTGAAGAGATGCCTTCTGCCTGATTGTAAGTTTCCGGAGGCCTCCCCAGCCATGCAAAACTATCAGTCAATTTCTTTTCTTAATAAATTACCCAGTCTCAGGTATTTCTTCATAGCATTTCTTTTCTTAATAAATTAAGTATTTCTTTTCTTAATAAATTACCCAGTCTCAGGTATTTCTTCATCTGTATTAGTCTGTGAGAACAGACTAATACAATCTAAGTGGCCATACTGACAGAATTATTTTTCTCTGTTTATGAATATTTGAAGAAGTACTACAGTTTCTGAATCTCAAACATAAAAGTTCTTTTCACATTTATTAGGAACTTTACAAGGTTTTAAATAAAAGGAAGCAGTTGGTATGAAAAAGTGAGATGAAAACAGAAACAAAAAAGTAGTTAAAGCCATTCTCAGTAATGTCCTTCACCTGTGCTTTATTTAATTCTCACACTGAATTGAAAAATCCTCAAATTAATATGAATTAACATTTATTGAGTGTTCCACAAGTGTTAGCTACTATTATGTACTAGGCACTGTGCTGATTGCATTACATTCCTTATCCCCTTTAAACCTCAAGACTTCAAGGAAATTTAAGAAAATTGAGGCCAAAGGAGTTAAATAACTTGACCAAACTCACACTGCCAGGAAGTGGTGGAGCTGTATTTTCAACCAAGGTCTGGCTCTAGACCCCATGGTATTAACCGCCACCCTATACATTTCAGACTAAATGATTTATTAACAGCTATGATTTCTCTGACAACGTTTTGCCATTTCTTGAGTATACCACTGGTTAATGAATTTGGTGTGGAACTGAAGTTAGAGTTCACAGAGCCAGGATAGCACATAAAATGCCAACAAGAAAAGAGCCCCAAAAGGAAAAATATTAGCTTTGGATGTGAGAGACAACAGAGCATCAAAAGGGGATAACTAGAATGAAGACAAGTGAATTTGGTCAGATCTGGGCATAGATTAACTTAAATGACAAGGCTTCAGTATAGAGAATGGGATGGGTGTAAGAAAATTCTGTATATATACACATATGTATATATAGGTATATAATGTAGTTATGAGGAGAAGAAAAAAATAGTAATCAAAAAGGTGAAGGTAGAAAGAAGGAAAAGAGAAGAAAAAAAGGAGAATAAAATGTATTTAGAACTTTCCACAGGATAAGCATTTTTATGTCACTGCATGTAATTTTCATATTAACTGCCAAGCACATAGTAACTCAGAATACTTTTTCTCATTTTTAAAGATGAAAGTACTAAACAACATTTTGGAGAAGACTTACCTAATAGACTCTGAAGAGCCAAGACTTGAACTCACATCCTTTGATTCCAATGCTGTCCTGTGGGTTTAAGCAAAAAGAGGGAAGGAACTACAGAGAAATATCCTAGATGATTTTGAATAGATATCATTTGGTTTCTATATTGAAAATATTTTGAATATTACTTATAGTTATGACACATATTTATTAAACAAAATGGAAAAAAAAAATTCTAAAATTTCCTCCTGTTTGTAAGAGAAAAATATGTATACTTTTCTTACAAATTGGAATGCATTTTTATAATTCTGAAAATGAACTTTTTCATTTCTGTTTATACCATCGTAGAAAAGGAGAATCATGCTTGAAATAGAGTCTATCAGGCATTGGTATAGATCCCTTTCTGCATCATTTGGGTCCAAAGGAAGAGGAAAAAGGATAAGTCGTGACCAGCTAAGAGATCCAATAGATTGGAGGAAATTAGGAGGTGCACACTTTTCATTTGGAGATACTATTTTCTTTGTTTGGATATACAGCCCAAAAGTATCTAAGATAGGGGTGTGTGTGTGTGTGTGTGTGTGTGTGTGTGTGTAACCTGGAAAACATTAAGTCAGGAGTATGCACCATGGTCATTGTGTCCTGGGCACCAGATAAGGTCCCAGTTCCCCAGATGGTGAACGCCAAAGGTTACAGTGAGATCTCCGCTTATTCCCAGATACACTTGCTATGAGGCGGCAGGTTAGATTTGCTCTTCTTTCGCTCCTCTTCTACTTGCTTTACATGGGGTAGCAATCTCCCAACGTTTGTGAAGAGTGACTGTCACTATTTTATATTTAACTGCACTGGTGAAGAGTTTATTTTCCTTTAAAAATGTTTTTATTTTTGTTAAATACTTTGTCATTTTAATGGCAATCTGCATAGACGGAGTTAGATATGTGCTAATGTTGTCATCTTAAATCTAAGTTAGTTTTGAGGGAAACATCATCACACATTTTGAATAAAGTTAACATCATCCAAAACTAACACATGTATGTGGGAAATCCTTCAAGTGATTCTTTTTTGCATATTTGCAAACCTAGAGTATATCTCAAAATACTCTCAAGTACATAGCCTTGTATTCATGCAAGAATCAGATTTTAAGTGAGGGATTTTATTTTCCTTCAAATAAATGGATTTAATGTTTCTCTTAATTGTGTGTCACAAATTGGACTAAAATCTCACAGGGCCTGCCTATACAGGAATCTAAACAATACCAGTTTAGGGGAAAGTAAGAAATTTTTTTTTCTTTTAGGTGTCTATTCAAATAACATGTCATTCAAGGGATTCATTTTTAAGTCATTCAAATTATTTTAAAGAGGAAGTCAAATCCTATACAAACCAATAAATTGTAAGTAAATATTTATGAAAGTTCATTTCACTGCCCATGGGAAGGTCACTATTCTTCTTTTGCTCGAATTTTCTATATTACTAGGAGAGAAACACTGAAGTCAATGGATAATCAGTATGTGCCCACGAAGGCTGGAAATCATGTTGTTTGGAGACATACATCTACAACCTCACAACTAATCCAAAAGTCACAGACACACACTTGTTGATTGCACTTCCTTTCCTTTCTCAAGATTTCCATTTTCTTCTTTTTTTTCTCTTTTTCTTCTTTTCTGTTCCTCATCTCCACGTTTCTTTGTTCTATTTAGTTTTTTCTTCAGGTAATCTCTCAGGTAATCTCAGTTTTTCAAGCATCTTTATTGTGTGTTTTTCTGTTAGTCTCTCTTCCTTTTTATATAATCTGACATTTATTCTTTCTCATTTTTGTCCATTATATTATCTGCCATTTCTATCTCCTATTAAAGCAAACTAAATATGGCCTGAGAAGGACTCCATACTTCTATATTTGTGTCCTTGTGGATGAAGTCTTGGTCAATCCCTGCAGCCATATTTCAAACAGTTACACACTGCAGAGCGTTCAAACTGCGTTCAATAAAGCAAACTCCAAGCTGTAACCAATCCAGCTGTTTCTTTACCTCTCTTTGGATTTCTGTACCTCACTTTACTTTTTTTGCCTATAACTTTGTTCTGGCCATGAGAGACGCCTGGAGTCTCTCTGAGTCTGCAGTGATTCTGGGGGCTTCTCGATTCATGAATCGTTCATTGCTCGATTAAACTCCTTTACATAGAATTTGGCTGAAGTTTTTCTTTTAATACTCCTGTCCTTATTGTCCCCATTCTCTCCTTTATAATTCCAACCACCCACTTTATCCCTCTCCTCTTTCCCTCAAGGATAAAGCACTCCTGCAATTCCACTTTACCTCCCATGATAAGTAGATTTCACTGTTGTTTATTCCTTTGTTCGTTTTTGGTTTTGCTTTGGCAATTCTCTTTCTTTCCCAAGGAATAGAAAACATTTAATTAAGAAACAACATTCAAATTTATCATTTGCTCTAGTAAGTATGATTGGCATTTTTTAACTTTTAACAAAATGATATTTTAACCTTATAAATGCATTATACACACACACACACACACACACACGTTAGAGCAGAGCTCTGTCTTGTTGCTGATGAGAAGTATTTTGTTCTCCATTATAAAATGTACTCTTTCTCTGAGATACACATCATGCTTCTTTGACATAAGCCAGCCTTCTCTTTATTGCCATTGTCTTAAGTTTCTGATCATACCTCCATGTTTGTCAAGGAGTAGACTTCTGCTTCATCCTGCGTGAATTCAGGAGCCTTGATACAAACCCTCTCTGCTCCCATCACTTCCGGTAACTTTTACCATCACTCTCAGGAAGTCCTTGTATCTTTTCTCTCTCAGAAGCAGACTTCCACCTGCTTCACTTGAACGTCTCTCAAGTTAGATACCCAGCGTGGTCCTCCTACTGAAACAAGAGTGCCAGCTATACCATCAGAACATCTTTTTTCATGCCTAGCTGATTTGGCTCAAAATTGAGGAGTAGAGAGCCTGACTCTGAAGTGAAAGCAGAAACACTGGGCAGTAAATGATAAAATTTGCTTTGCTCTCAGTAGTTTCTGACAACCCCATGGCAGGACTGGGGTGGAAGGAGGAAGGAGATAAAGCGTAAAGCCTTAATACAGCGTGGACCCCAGAGTACTAAATCATCGGAGCAAAGGTGAATGAGAAGTAAATCCTCTCCTTTAGAAAAGGATCACAAAGAAATATGTCTGTCCAGAACTATACCTTCTTAAAGGATTTATAAACATTATCAAGCTTTCTCGTGAGTCTTTAGTTCAAATTATCAGCATTTTTCTTGTCTGAAGAAAGTTTGAGGGGAAATTTTAAGTTAAGTTAGTCCTGGCTTTAGTTTTCTAAAAAACAGAACTTCAAGATATTGAAAAGATAAACCTTAAAATAAAGAAACCCAGAGAAAGGATTATACAGCAGATGTATAGCTGAAAAGCGAATTATTGAATCTGCAGGGAAAAGAAATTATCCAGAATGTGAAAGAACGAGTAAGAAAAGTAAATGACAGAATAAAAGAAATATTCAGCTATTCAAAGTTCCAGAAAGAATACCAGAGACATTGGAAGAGATGGCGGCTAAAGCTTTTCCAGAACTTTAAGGGACATCAGTATTTAAATTCAGGAAGCTCTATGAATCCCAACCTGAAAACGATTAACACCTAAAACCATTATAATGAAATTGCAGGCACCCCTAAGGACAAAGAAATTGTAAGCTATAATTTTTTGCTCTCAATGATGTCACTGTCTGCAGTCAGGTAGAAGACCCTGAATTTCCCATTTTATAGCATCTACTTTTGGAATGAGAGGCCCTCATGATTGTTGCATCTGTAAATCCTGGTTTGTCTCTCCATCCCACTTTCATCTGCCCCATACCACTTGTTAATAGAAAGACTAACTCCTGCTAACTTACAGTTTCATTCTGGCTCCAGTGAAGTCCTGAAAATCCAGAATCTCAAATATAGCATCTATCTAAAACAGGGTAGAGACTCAGCATCTCTCGTTCCCAACGCTGCTCTTTGTGATCCTCTAACTTTACTTTTCAATCTTTGGTGCTTGTCTATGTCCGTTGCATATTCAGCTGACCTCTCAGCACATGCCTCATTTTTGTTTCTTTTGGAGCCAAAGGATCATCATTTCTATGAAGCAAAAACGGGACACAAAACTGTACAGGTAGAATGACCTTTAACTCCACTCAGCACATATGAACACACACACACACACACAGGCACACATCCTTGCACACATTTCCAAAGGGCTGTTAATGTTAGGATAGGAGAAACCACTGGTAGGACATCAGGAGAACTGGAATTTAAAGGAATAATAAAGTGATGAATCAGCAGAGGTTAACTCAGGTAAAGAGATGTCAAAGATATAACTTGGGTAAGAGCAACTACTCTACTAATGAGTTTCCATCTGGGAGATGTCAGAAGAATGTCACTGAAGGAAATTTTTCTGTTTCTTCTGAGTAATAGAGACAAGTTCATTTAGTATGATGTCGTTTAGTCTATACAAACTTATATTCCTTCTTAACTCTCTCATGAACTGACCTCCTGGTAATTCTCTTCAGTGAAAGCTTCAGGTTCTGATTCTGCCTCAATCTTCATTTTACAATTCAAAAAAAAAAAAAAAGTGGAAATCTCATGCAGCACTACACCTTGTTTACTTGGCTTTCTGTCTCCAGTGATCTTAGTGATCTTCACCTCCACTCCACTTTAGTTACAGACACTCAATACCATACACTGGGCTTTGTCATCACCTGTTATTTCTCCACCTCTGAAATCTTAACCTGAAAGTTCACTGTTTGAGTACAAATTCTTACTCTTCCAGCTACTCTTCCAGCCCTTTCATTCTGTTACTTCCATTAAACCTTAATTTTTACTTCATAGCAATCTCAGCTCTTTTGAATCCACTTCTATGAAATTCTTTTGATATTCACATCCTTTATAACTCAGTTTAGACCTCAATGCTTCTTCTTTTATATTCCAGGTCCTACAATTATACCTCTTAAATATTCCAAGAATCTCCACTCTTCTCTCTATTTCCATTATCACCATCCCAGTTTAGATCACCATTACCTCTCACAGATTACTCAGTAATATCCTCACTGGCCTTCCTGATCCTAATGCTTCCAAACTCCCTTCCCAACTCATTCTCTGCACTGCAATGAGAATTATCTGTCTGTAATGCAAATATGGCCATGCGATTCCCTCTTTGAAAGCACTTTAATGACTTCTAGTTGCTTCTGGAATAAACTACATATTCCTAAATATCAGTTACACATTTTTCAGGATCTGGGACCTGCTTTCCTCACAAGCCTCTCTCTTAACCTTCTCATTCTATCCCACCCAATATTTCAATAGCCTGAGCCATGTTGGGTTTACTGAATTTTCCATGCCCGTTCCCACCTCTAGGCTTTTGCACATGTTTGTTCTTCTTCCTGAAGCAGGATCCTGTACTTCATCCTCTTCCCATGTTACCCTCCCGATCGTAATCATTCCTTAAGTCTTGCCTTAAGAGAACACATCTCTCAGGAAGCTTTCCTTCTGCTCTGAGTTACGCAACCTTCCCCATGTACCTGTACTTCCCCATCACAATACTTAATATAGGATCTCCCAACTGTCTCTTAAATTGTTTGCATCTCTCATTAGATTGAGATAGGTGAGGCAGGGATAGTATCCTCACAGGATATCACAGAGTCTGGACCACATTAGTTGCTCAATAAGTATTGAATGAAAGAAAAAAAAAAAATTCCAACTCAGAGAGTCAGGTGTGGAGAAATTTAGGAGAAATAACCTTCAATCAGGATACTCATTATGAAATTAGAGGATTTTGATCAGATTATATACCTGAAGAATATGAAACGTTATCCACCATCCTAGAAGGTTCCTGGAAAAAAATTCATGTTTCTAAAATGATTATAATATTTTCTTTATATTACATTAAATGTGTATTTATAATCTACAAATTATACACTTTTATCTACACTGAGATTTTCACATGTAATCTCCACACTAGGCACTATAAATTATTGTCTTGATTTTAAATCAGCATTTTTTCTGAAGAGTTTCCTTCTCATTTGCCTCAACACAATGGAAGGTGATCCAGAGGAATGAGAAACAGTTTTACATCAAATCTCTCATGACTTGCCCAATGATGTACTGCAGGTCTCACTGGGCTCTCTACATTTCTGACAGATTCTCCATCTTCCTCAAAGCACTGGATTGATAGAAATAATGTATATGCCACAGACTTGTCTCCTTAAAACCTCAGTGCTAAATGTGCTTAGGCCGTAAATATCTGAGTTGACAGAGGACATTGGTATTCCCCATGCCAGTCTCTTTTCCTATAAAAATGGAAGTGTCAGATTATGATAATTGTCTCTCCATCAGATGCCTATAAAAAACAAATCGAAGGAAGATAAAAGTTAGCAAGAAGTATGTAACAATAAAAAAGAAAATAGCAAGCTGTTAAGCTATCCAAGGCTTTCATAACTGCTGTCATTTTGATAACATAGTTCTTAGAGACCATTAGGCCACATCCAGCTTCCCCCAGCTGACAAGTCTGAGGTTCCTGCTGCTCTCACAATTGAGTGATGTGTCTGTATGAACAAGAGAACAGCCTTGTAAGAGGCTTTGTGTTTTTCATAACCACAGGAAAGTTGGTAAGATCTATCTACATTAATAGTTTCAAACATAGATGATCATCACGATTGTTGGGGGGGTGGAATTGTTATAAATTTCTAAATCACATTCCCAATATTCTGGGATCCACTAGGGTCTGTTTTTGTTCATTTGAATATTTTTTTTCCTTGTTTTATTAAAGTAAAACCTTACACACAGTGAAATGCACAGGTTTCTTTTCTTCACCCCTTTAAGTCAGTTAATTATTTATTATTAGCAATCCATTTTAAGTCTTTATTTATTTATTTATTGAGACAGAGTCTCACTCTGTTGCCCAGGTTGGAGTACAGAGGCACAATTATGGCTCACTGCAGCATGGATCTCCCAGGCTCAAGCAATTCTCCCACCTCAACCTCCTGAGTAGCTGAGACTACAGGCATGTGCTCCCACACCTGGTTACCTTTGGTATTTCTTGCAGAGATGGTGTTTTGCTCTATTGCCCAGGCTGGTCTTGAACCCCTAGGCTCAATTAATCCTCCAGTCTCAGCCTCCCAAGGTGCTGGGATTACAGACATGAGCCACTGCACCCGACCTATTTATCTATTTTTGGCTTTTAGCTACACCTATGTGGATTGTTTTTAGTAATTTACGTATAATTACCATATGCATCTTTAAGTTATCACAGCACTTAGAGCTAATATTTAGTCCAGCTGACTTAAAATGCTAGAGCTTAACCCCATGATCCTATCTATTCCCATTTTCTGTGCGATTATTGTTATAGATGTCAAATCCATATACACCATAACCTTATCTGATTTTTTTGATATCAGTTGCATAGAATGCTGACTATAGGTAATAATTGAGTGCTGTACATTTCAATATTGCTAAGAGAGTAAAGTTTGAATGTTCTTATCACCAAAAATGTTAATTATTTGAGGTGATTAATACATTAATTAGCTTAAACATTCCATGCTGTATTAAAAAATCATAACATCCCTTTGAACCCCATAAATAGATACAACTATAATTTGTCAATACAAAATTTTAAAACAAAAAATGCAGTTGTCTTTTAAAGAAATTAAGGGAGAAAAAAAGGATATTCTTTTAAATGCATTTACTTATTTATCTTTTCTTCTGCTCTTCAATCTTTCCTGA